TTTATTTACCAATCTGCTGCTTAGCGCGTGATTCGTGCCAGTCCCCGATTGTGTCCATATCTCGCTAATATTAGTTTTTGGACGCTTGGCCACAGAGTAAATAATAGTACTGGTTTGGCTCTCGTTCATTAGCAATGCACGTCGAGTTCAAGTATATTATCTGAGTGGGGATGCACAGGATAATTTTATGCGTACGAAAAACACCTGTAAGAACCAAACTACTGGTTCAAAAGGCTTGAGATAAAGACTTCTTTTATAGGATAAAGGTGACAAACGAGCACACAGTCCACATGATGGTAAGTGGTTGGTGTGGCCCATAGACATCTACATCCATCTTCGATTACGAATCAAAATGCAGATGCGTTGTCACCCTTGAGGACTAAGATGGAATGCCTCGTTTCCAGTAAAAGGGGTCTCCGGTTCTCTACACTCACCATACGAAACACAGTAGCGTTAAGCTGCTATTTTATGATGGTATTCTGTGAGAGCGTGGTCCTTCCCCGGTCAAGCCAACCCATTAGTGCTACAACTATAATATAGCTGCAGCATGGCTCTACCACGTTAAAACTACGTTAAGACTGTTTTTATCTAGATAAAATGCACGAAACGATGATTATGTTAATTTTATAAGGATTTGTACTTTGTACTGCAAACAAGACAGAAACTGAAGTTTTATTGTATACTATCTTAAAAGCTTTCTTTTTGTAATCTTTTACTTTAGAACTAGCTGCAAAGAACTAACTAAAAAGTTTACGCAGTCTAAAACGACTGCGCAAACAGCCTTAACAATCCTCTTTGGGTGGGCTGGGCACTTCTTTCACATTTCCAGCATAGACTGACGAGCATGAAATTCCCGTATTGTCAACTCACTGTGTGAAGCATTATCACCTTAGAGAAGAGTTTCGAGCAACTTTGGTACATGGATGCAAGAAACCTAGCCTCCAAATCCAAAGGAGGGAATCCGGTCAGTAAACGTCGCTATAAAGGAGATAGTGCGATATTCCTGTATGATCCTAACGGCCATCACCCTCTGACATCTTTCCAAGAAAGTAATGCCTTACTATTATGTAATAATGATTATTATTAATTATATTATTAAGTATTAATGAAAACAAAAATATTGGTTTACCTCACATTTATTTCAGACTCCATAGTAAAGTTTGCTTACCTAAAATAATTACCCAAGAAATAATCACAATATACTTTGGCGTATTAAAACATCTTACAATAATATACTTGCTATAATTTATACTACTGTACCTATATACACTACGGTTCATATAATGCAAAAGTACAGGACGTCCATTTCTATACTATTTATTCTACAAAATAATTTTATTTCAGTTTTAATCGAATCATTTGCGATTTCACTTCTGACTAAAACCACAGAATAAACTAAAACATGATTTTTAAACTCGTTACCTACAAATATTTGTAAATCTTCCAATATATTATGTCAAATAAATTGAAATATTTTTATTTTATTAGCGAATATTATCATTTAAAATTAAACTCATTAATTAAAATGATTTAATAAAAAGAACCAGTTAATAAAATAAGTACACTGGTCATAGATCACTGGTCATAGTCATAACTAATAAAGTTTTTAAATAAAACAATGAAACGCAAAAATCGTTATTGAAAAAGAAATTAAATAAGTAATTCAATCTTAAATCACATTTCACAAAGCACATTTTAAATAATTTTATTATTTTTACCATTTTGTTAATTTAGTGAACTATAAATTATGTTTTTTAATCTAATTTATTACGCCATCCATAGAATTATTAAATTCTATGACGCCGTTGTTAATTTAAGATTCCTTAATAATATTGACCATTTTAATCTCGTCTTCTTTAACATTAGTTAGTTTAGCGTAATTCCTGATAACAATCAGGTAAGTTTAGTAGTAGAACATAATGGGTTATTTATTTTTCATGCGGTTTAATTAAAAAACGGTTCAGGAGGAGCCTTCCATAATTTTGTATGATAAAATTTAGTCTGTCTAGTGGCAGATTTATATTTTTAAATAAGTTTGTTTTAAAAAAAGTAATAAACGGAGCGGGGGGAGGTTTGTGTCACTAGAATCACTAATCGTGTGGATTTCTCAGTCAATCACAATGTCGCAGTGGTCGGGTGAGCATTTTTGTTCAACAATTGTGCAACAATTTTGTTCAAACTTCAATATTCGACGGTTAAGTGATTAACCGAGTGTGAAAGTAATTTGTTCCTGGATACAGAGGTTCAGGAGAACTGCTTTGGCTATGAACACTTCAAGGCCAGGGTCTAGTTGATCTGCAACGACTCTAAAAAACATTGAACTGGTGGAATTGAGTTTACGTGAAAATGCACGACTTTCATTAAGGAAAAGTTTATGACACCAAGGTAACTGTTTGAAACTTTTTTGAAAATGGACGGCGACGAATGTCAATGGCGAGAAATATGGGCGCATGATCACATATTTCTTTTTGCTGAACCTGCGATCTCATCCATCGTTCTCACCACACACGTGGTTTTAATAGGATGGTACGACCCCACACACGGCCAGAGCTTAGATGAATTTGCTACGGAAATTTTTCCTCTAAAACTGATTAGTCGCTTTGGGGACAACCAAGATTGCCAGACTTTCTTTATGGGGCTATCTCAAAGAGAGAGTTTACACAAAGAGTTTACAAACACATTCGTCATGAAATCAGCATAATTCAATCGAGCTGACTGCAGCGTGTGGTCGCTTAACACGAGGCTCCGTTTCGAACAATGTGTGTGACTCGACGGAAGACATTTGAATGACAAAATGAAAATAATATCCGCATCTTTACTCTGTCTTTCAACACTTTCATTAAAACGATATGTCAAGTAGTTAGTTTTTAACTTAATTTTAAAAATATAAATCTGCCACCAGACAGCCTGTATATCTATATAGATAACGATTGATGTTGGTATATCTGTTTGAGAATAATAGACTGACTCCGTTTGACCGATCATCAGGAACACATTATGTATTTTGCCATGGACAAGATTATTATGTTATGCATTTTCTTGTAACGGACCACTAGATGGCACTGCAGCACATCTACATCTATACCGTTCAACCGATCGCCATGAAAATAGATATACACAAGCCAAAGGTTTTGTTAGTTACTTACAACAGAGTAAAAACAATTTAAAAATTATTATTATTGCTATTAATATATATTGTTTTATAATAATAATGGAAACACTCTTTTGAGAAAAAAATTAATGTTTATAAAATAGCTTTGAATTGACCCACCACAAAACGACACCATCCCATACGATGATCCCATTTTTTTAACTATCCCTTATTCCTTACAAAATTCCAAAATTCGCATTTAAACTCTCATTTAATGTGTATTTGTTTATTATGTCTCATATCAATTATTTTAGGAAAATGTCTTTGACTAATAGACACAGACGGACGGACAAACGCGGAGGTGTTTTTTTTTCGGATAATTAATAAGTTCTTGATGATGATTTTGTTCAATTGTAAATATTTGATCATTATAATTAGTAGTGCAATTGACGAAGTCAGCCATGTTTTTACTAATATTTTAATTCTAAAACAGAAATTTAATTACACATGAATTAAACTGTCTCTGCACGAGTTAATATTACTTGGTAATTATTAGTTGGTAGTATATTAATTGGTAAAGTAAATTTTTACAGTATAAAATTGTACTTAGATAGGTATAAAGTACTTATTTTATCTATCATACTTTATTTCTTCATCGGCGCGGTATTTCCACATTTGGCTGTCCTGTGGGCCTCTCTTCGATGGCAGTGCCAGACGTCTCGTACTTTTGACGCTGTTGTCCGTCGCCGGTCTGGGTATTTAAGGTCTGACGTAAAGGTGATGGTTATATTCGCCTCCTACGACAGCCACGTGATGCAATGAGGTGATGAATTCTTTTACGCCGTCACCATACGGCAAATTACTTTTTTATTTATCATTATTTTCAAGGTACCTATATTAAACTTGCAAGTTAGACAATTCTTAGCACAATATGAGCAAGTATTGTTTACAGATAAGTAATATATATTATGTTACATTATATTTAGCTTAAACTAACAATTTGCATGGAGTTCGCGTGCATGTAAGTACTAAGTATATTAATTTAGATTTTTTTTTAAAAATTCTAAATAAATACGCATATACCTATTATCATGCCTGCGTCAGTTCGCAATGCAGCAATACGCACACAAATTTTTCTAGTTTTATTCTTATGAGATCAAAATACGATATCTACTCTTTTTGGCACATCGATTCACGTTCCCTCTACTCACGCAGAAGGTAAGTAAGTACGAGTATAATATGGACATCGGTACGTCAGTACCAACATATTATACGCAAACTTATAATTTCTATGCAACGCTACGTGTTAGATACTAATAATTCTTAAAACTACTATCCGGCTAACATATTTTTTTTCTTTCTTTTTATATATTACCTACTTCTTAATTTTCATTTGATTAAAAGATATTCTAACTAAACATATAAATTTAAATTTAGAATTAGAAAATCTCTTTCTTCTCGATTTAACAAAATACATTGTGAAATTAATTTGTTATAATTAATTTTAGCTGTATTAGTGATTAATTTTAGTTATGTTGGCAAAAGTAGACGATTTGAGGACACGTAATTAATAAGGCGATATTAATAACATGAGATGAGAACCTAGCATGGTCACGGTTAGGTCATTTTATAGTACTTTATTTACAATGTAATTTAGTACTTTAGTAGGTCTACTCTAGTATATGCGCCTCTCAGAGTAATTTATATATGAATTACTCTAAGATGCGCCCATTTTGTTTGAAATTTTTTCACATACAACATTTGACTTTTTATATTTTGTTTGACAAGTTTTGATTCTTACATCTTAATATTTAAATAAGGTATATAACTTAGGTCATAATATATCATTATTTATATTTATACGTAGCTATGTTGTTATAATCTATGGTTCTAATTTAACTAATTGATCTCAAGATGACGGTTCAGGAGGGGCAGGTGGCCCTGGCGCAGGGGGTTGAAGGAGTTTTGCTGCGGCTGGGAATCCCGTCAGGTCGAATCCTGGTGGTGGTACGATGCCAGCTGCTGAGGCTGTACTCTGGAGGTATGCTACTAATCTGGAAAATGGAAAGTTAATTAGCTTTATTTAGGTCGCCGGCCTATTTGCGCTAATAAGCTAATAATATAAGAGAGCCATTATTAAACAGTTTGTGCAACATCAATTAATAAAAGTTATTTATGATACGGTACAAATATATTTTTTTAATTATTTTATATCACCGTTTTTCTTCCAGTTTGCTATTTGATTGAAATCATCATCAAAAAATAATGTTTGTATTTGCTTTTGTGAGGCATTAGAAATTAAGAATACGTATTGTGAGACGTTAAAAAAAACATGAAGTAGGAACGCATCTGTAACTTTCTACGTCTGAAGTGGGTTGCAGGTGTTTTCAGGTTACACTATTCATTTGCCGTCAGGGGCAGGGGTTCAGAACTCGTTTCTCACTCTAATATTGTAAATATATAGGTACCTTCTTAACTCATCGAGGGCACTGGCCTGCATTAAGATGTAGTTTTTTGCCAATAACAAAGTTGCAATTTTGGACAATTTTCGTACGGACGGTGAATGAGCGTATGGAATGACACCTCGTAGTTCATCTAAGGCATCGTTCTGAAAATAAAAAAATAATCTAAAATATTGTATTGTAAAATGTATCTATCTTAAAGGCCAGTTATATATAATTAAAATCAATTGTTCTATTGGCGTAATACGCTGCAACGCGGCGCTACGACGCAAAATAATTTCTTTAAAGGCACAAACATAACGATACATCTAATAACGATTTCGATTTATACCAACTACCGATGAACAGCTCTTTGGTTGATATGTGGAATAAAATTAAAGTGAGACAAATTTATTAACTGTATTTAGAATATATTTTAAAGGAGACAATCGTTTTTGGGCCCACTAGAAATTTTAACGTAACTTAACTTTATTACACATAAAAATATACCAATTTATTATACTAAACGGCCTAAAGATTTTATGAAAATCCAACCGGAATTATGAAATCTGAGGCAATATTCATCTCGAAAACAAAACTGCTCGGGGCAAACTGAGCAACAATACTAAGGTGACCTCTGCCACGCTATCCGTGAATTTCTGCAACATCAGGGGACTTCACTCGAACCTAAACGCCGTCCACTACCATCTCGAGACGGCGAAGCCGGCCTTGCTCTTTCTGACCGAGACGCAGGTGTCCTCTCCGGCTGATACTTCGTATCTCTCCTACCCGGGGTACAAATTGGAGCACTCCTTTGTGCCTCGGGCTGGAGTTTGCGTATACGTCAGAGAAGACATCTGTTCTCGACGCCTCGGCAGTCTTGAAGGTTCGGACCTGTCCATCATTTGGCTCCGCGTAGATAGCGACGACCATCCGCGCGTCTACGGGTGCCTCTATAGGTCCCATAGCGGTAATGCCGAAACAGACCGACTCATCGACCACGTCCAAATGGCTACAGATTCCTTGCTACAACAGGTCCCATCTGCAGAGATCGTTATCCTTGGCGTTTTTAACGCCCACCACGCCGAATGGCTTGGTTCACGTTTAACCGATCATGCGGGTAGATCTGTTACTTCGCTTACGCACAACTGGTTACTTCGCCTACGCGGATTCCAGATGTGGAGGATCATAAACCTTCCCTGTTGGACCTTCTGCTGACCTCTCATCCGGACGGATATCAGGTTTCTGTCGATGCCCCTCTCGGCTCTTCGGACCATTGTCTGATCCGGAGTGTGGTGCCACTCACGCTCCCCTCGCGGTTGCGTTCTGCAGGTTGCCGCCGTGTTTGGCATTACAGGTCGGTGGATTGGGACGGAATGCGGTGTTTCTTTGCATCCTACCCATGAGGGCGGGTTTGCTTCTCGCCAGATGATCTCAGCGCTGTTGCTGACTCCTCAATTTCAAGGCACTCCCCTTCTTGCCTCAGCCAGTATCGGAGTCCTCGGAGTCGAAGAGAAGGCCAAATTGGCCTCTAAAAAGCTTGGCGTGCTCAGCAGAGCGGGACAGTGTTTCATGCCAGCACACCGCCTGCAACTTTACAAGGCGCAGGTTCGGCCTCACATGGAATACTGTTCCCATCTCTGGGCAGCGGCTCCCCAGTGCCAGCTCCTTCCACTTGACCGCATTCAGCGCAGAGCGGCTCGAATCGTCGACGACCGAGTCCTTTCTGATAGGCTCGATTCATTGGCACTGCGAAGAGATGTTGCATCCCTTTGCATTTTCTTTCGCATTTACCACGGGGAGTGCTCTGAGGAATTGTTCGGATTAGTCCCAGCCGCCAAATTTCACGAACGCACATCGCGGCAGAACTCCCGATACCATCCACACCATCTGGATGATTGGCGGTCCACCACTGTGCGATTTAGAAGATGTTTTCTTCCTTGTACAACTTCCTTGTGGAATCCATTACCATCAGCGATTTTTCCGGACCGATGCGACTTAGGGACCTTTAAGAAAAGAGCCTACTCCTTTTTAAAAGGCCGGCAACGAATCTGCAATTCCCCTGGTTCCCCTGGTGTTGCAGTTGTTCATGGGCGGGGGTAGTCACTTACCATCAGGTGAGCCGCATGCTCGTTTGCCCCCTCTCCTATAAAAAGTACCTATAGATGCTGAATGTATCTACAACTTTGTTTTATTCTATTAATTATTGACCAGTGCACTATTTTAACTTATAATACCGGTGAAAACTACCAGACAATCGCTTTTAGTTTGTTATTAGGTTATTGTGATTTTCATATTTTAATTGTTAATTTCTCAGTATTCCTGTTAGATACGGCAAAACTAATATTACTATTGTAACCTATAGACTATAAGTAATAAATCGACATGTATTTCATTAAGTTACCCCACAATTTTTGGTGGGTCCATTCTCCATACAAAAAGAATTGTCTCCTTTATCTTTACATTTATCCTTTTGGAAACGAGGCATTCTGTTAAAGTTGGAAAAAATTATTTTGCCAATATCCGCTCAATAAAATTAAAAGATGTGTATTACCTAGTTTGAAGAGCACCTCCCGCCCTCCCTCAATTGCGTGCAATATCCCCGTCCAAAGTAAATTTTTCCAACTTTAATATAATGGATTTCCGCAAAGTAACGCCTGATTATATTAATTAACGAGGCATTTTATCTCAGTCCTCAGGGGTGACAACGCATCTGCATTTTCATTAAGGATAAATGTAGATGTCTATGGGTATATCATCCCGTGGGTGTCGTAAGAGGCGGCAGAGGGAAACAAATCAGGTGCTAGGCAGCAACGTTTTCCTAATAACGACTAAAAATAAGAAACTGCGGTTGCCAATACGCTTGCTATTAACTATGGAAAATAATCTCCCGTATGAGGCAATCTATGAGGAGGCCGACGTTTAGCTGTTGACTTTTATAGGCTGTAACGGTGACGATTAATAAATGTATTCCGTAACGCAATTATTCAAGTTTTTATTTAAATATTAATTAAATTACGTTTGTATAATATATATTACCTTTGAATCGTATTCACTGCTAGCTCGAAATAGGCCTTTACAATGATGCGCCAACAAACATGACTTGGGAAGATTTGCCAATTGACTTTATGCATGCCTTTAACTTGATTTTAGAAATTTAAATTTAGTCTTACCAAATCGTGCATCCGTCTTCGTTCTCTTGCATTTATGTTCAATCTGACAGTTTTTCCTTGACGCATTTTTTGTTTACCCTTACCATCTCCCATCGATCTGAAATTACCGAATTATTTTTGTATAGTAGAAGTTGTAATATAGTATATGGGTAAAAAACAACACAGTCTACCTGATGGTAAGTGATTGTTGTGGCCTATATACATCTAAATCTACCCTCGCTTACGAATCAAAATGGAGATGCGTCGTCACGCGTGGAATGCCTCGTTTCCAGCAAAAAGTCTCCGGTTCTCTACACTCATTGCTATTTTATGCTGGTAACTGAGGGCGTACTCCTTCCTCGATCGAGCCGATCCTGCTACAACCATACTACTAATATAGCTGCAACATGGCTCCATCACTTAAAAAATCATTCGATTCCGATCAATACAATAAATTTCCAATAGTTTTCTAAGTTATCAACTGCGCATCTTAAATTGATTATAGTGCAACATTCTTATTCGTTGTATACAACATGTAAAAAAAAAACCTTGTGGTTTCCGTTTAGTGCGTTATCACAATCAATATTCAAACGTATTTAAATAACTATACTTCCTTCGACGATAAAAAAATCAAATCAAAATTTAATAAATTTTTATTTGTAAATTGTAACAGGGTTTATTACCTCTGAATTATCAGGGGAGTAAGAGTAGATATTGTCAAAGACCCCACTTTACCGATGCGAGTGTCAGTTATTTCAGATACGAATAACATTTTTTCACGTTTTTGTGAATACTAAAATAGCTTTAATAACGACAAAAAAAATCACTGTCATAAATGCTATGCCATGCATGTACACCTATACGTCCCTAAGGATCAATAAGACGTTTGTTAAATACTGTATTTAATGTCGAAAGCAATACGAAGTTGGACTTTGGAACGCGGTACCCTAATGCCGTTAGGATACAGTTTTAGCAACTAAAGTTAAAATCAGATTTAAAACTAACAAAAAGTTTTGAGAGGCCCATGTTCAGCCGTAGACCGGTACGGAGTGATAAAGAATATGTCTAAGTCATGGTTGTGGGAAGTTATTGTCATTAAAAGAGTTACAACCAAGCTCTTTGTGTGCACCTGATGGTGTTTACCGTAGCACGTCAACACCTGCAACTAAGGGACCACAGAAGGGTTACGCTCCTGAGTACTAAGATAAAATGTTGCATAGCCTGTTATTTACTCTCTTGGGACGCAGCGGTGGGTTTATCTAGCCCAGAAACGCAGAAAAGAAAAATCTAAATATATCCAATAGTTTTTGTAATTCCTTCTTCCTTTATCCCTCCCCCCCCCCCTCTCTCTCTCTCTTTAAATTAAACCGATTATATTATTTATCTTTAGAATTAATAATTACAGCCCATCACAAGTCCACTGCTGAACATAGGCCTTCCTCAAGGAATGCCACAAACCACGGTTCTGAGCCACCTAGTGTATATTATTCACAAGTGTATATTACATATTATAGAGTTATGTAATATTACATAAGTGTATAATATGTAATATTAATTATATAGTAAATAATAATTGAATATAGGGTACGTTAATAATAGTACCCTCGCAGTTATCGTTCGACAAGGGACCGCGGTTCCGCGAGGCGGAACAAGTGCCATAACTCCCCGGTGACTGGCGATGGACGAGCTTTGTTCGTCGGACGCTAACGAGCGAAGAGGGGTGTTTTCCGACCAAAGAATCAAATAGACAGGTCACTCTATTAATGCATGTAAATAATATGATTTCATAGATTTTTACTGTGTTACTCTATTATTTGATTTGATAAAGTAATCTATGGTATTTGGTTAATTTTAACATATATTTAGTAGGGTGAACATCAAAGTCATTTGGTTGATAGACATCGCATTTAATGCTAAAATTGTGATACTAAGAGGAAACGAAAAGAAAAATTATTATTTCAATTATATAAATTGAGATTTTCTAACGTTTGTTAATAGTCTTAAAGTAAAATTGTAAGTTAACGTAAATGACTTTGTACGCCAAGTGTAGGTTTATAACAGATAGAAAATGAGGGACTGAGCATTGTTTACTGTTAGAATATAAGTTTAAATTATTTGTAGTAATTAACTTACAATCATAAATGATTTAATTTTATAAATAAAAATACATCGCATCATGTCTATCCACAACATAGTCTATAATATGATCAGTACAGTGATCAATGGAAATCATGGTCATTGCAACTAAAGTACGCATGAATATAGGGTGTACAGCTTTTTGGTGTATTACGCACAGATGTTGTGTATGGATGTGCATTACATTTTATGCAAAATGCAAATGTGGCGTCTGGTTAAAAAAAATCCATCACATGGTCTTTAATTTTTTGCACGTTTCATCTCTTTTTTTATTTCTCTACTTTTGTAGATAGCTGTGACTAGTTTTATTTATTTTTAATCTAATTAATATTAAATATAACTAATAGTACAGAAATAAACATTAATCTTTATATTTTTCGAACAAATGAATTTCCCCGCTTTGAAATCTGTCAAATATTACACCTCATTTTACGTGGCACGGTGGCAGGAAAAGCCGTGGATGTTCTCATTGGTATCTACCGTCTGGAGTAAATATTGGTGTTTACAACTTAAAAAAATATATATGTAACGTCGTATTAAAAATATTATTGAACTAGATAAATTTCTGAAAACCTTAGCGCTGACATAACGTTGTATTACAAATATATTATAAAGTGGTCTAAATATGTTTCAAATTAAAACTACGGTAGAAAATTAGTGAAATTTTACGTTAGAAGAATAAGTACTGTTAATTTAATTTAAATTTAAAGCGATGCCTTAATTTCAATTTCATTACAAAAGCGATACATATTATTTATGTATGTATTTGAAAATGGAAATAGACAATTAATGATATTTATAATGAAAACAAATAGTTTTCACATATATACCTATCTATTTATTTATTTGAGGTTGATTTTAATCTAATAATCGATTATAAAATGCAAATTAAATAGAAAGGAAAATAATATATATGGTAATAATATTTTGATAATTTTAAATAATGCCTTTGAACTAACCTTTGACCATAACTGGTTCCGGGTTCTGGCTGGTTTTCATCTGTGGGATAGCAGTGTTGCGGAGGCGGCGGAGGCTGGCCACCTTGCATATAAAACCCGCCAAGACCGACAGCGCCCAGCGGGGTCCTTCGGCCCGGCACTGACTGTGGTGGTGAGTGGGACTCCCCCAAAGGCACGCCATCCCAGTTCCTCCGCCCCTCCATAGTGGAAACTAACACATTACAACAATAAAAATACGTAAGGACGTTTTGAAAGGTAGCAGCGTTGACAGCGAGTGAACATAGAGTGAAGTTGAATCGGTCCACAGATCGATTGGGGTACGCAGCTGGGGCGCGCACCCCTCTCATCTCACCACCGAGCATTGTTCCGAGATGCGATTGTGATTTGTTTCGTAAAGCGCGTGTGTACTATTGATAACGTATTAAATGTTTTACCAAAATCTGATAACTCAATTTTGATTTAAATGAAGTGTTCTAAGAATTATACAAATATATTATTTTTTATTATATTAATTTTTGACACCTTTAAAGATTTACGGAAAGATTTTTGTATAGATACAAATTCAAACAGGTAGATAGTATCTACTAGATACCTACTCTCCAAAACTAATCACTATGAAAGTTACATTGGATAATGACTTGAGCTTACAGATTTATTATTATTTTAATCTAATAAATATATATAACAGTATTAAACGTTCAGAATAATATACGGTAAACGTCGGAATCTAACCATGAACTTTAGAAGTAGTACATTCTGTACACAAAGAAATGCTGAAGCCAATACTGCTTAATTCATTTTTGAGATGCTAAGTATCCTTGACATTTCAAAACCGTAAATTATCACTTTACATTTTAACTCCAGTATTGTCGCTAAAAATGGCATCGATCAGATCAGGTAAAAGATTACAATTCGAATCGATTAGTAAAGATAACAATTCAAGTCGAAATATTGTGTATCATGTATTTTAAATTATATAAGACGTAGGTTCAAATAATATTCTTAGTAACAGTTTCAGTGACTTATAATACTTGTATTTCAAGCTTAATATTAGTAGTTCAGTAGGTATCCTTTAACGAGCCGGGGTCATTGACTCCTGCTCTCAATTTGGGTATTAAGGAAGCGCCTACATTCTAATTTAAATGTTTAGCTGTCTAATGATAAGATTATCTGGATATTTTTTGAAATAATGATTTGTTATATTTAGGCGAATACTACACAAATAATACATTTTACGGATTTTTCGAGTTTTAACTTATTTTTAATTCTCTATTTTAAAAGTGCTCTACGGAATGTAACATCAGAGTAGGACAGTAGTAAGAAGTTCGACTCCCTGATGTAATAATAAATTGGTGCTATAGAGCTCTATAAGCTTCCGATATTGAAAATAAGTGTATCAATAATATTTTTAACACGATAGAATGAGTCAGCTCGACTGGGGGAAGGACCACGCTCTCACAAAATACCAGCGGAAAATAGCAGCCTAATGCTACTATATTTCTAATGGTAAGTGACCCTTGTACGAACTTGTATCGAGGCATTCTGTTTAAGTTCTTTGGGGTGAAAAGGCATCTACATATTGATTCCTTATAGAGGATGAGGAGATAGATGACGAGATGATGTAGGCGCCTATGGGCTGTCCACTTACCATCAGATGTGTGGTCACTTATTATCCTTGTTCTATAAAATGCGATAAAATCCGTAAAATTAGTATTAATTAAATTTGTAAAAAATTCAACCATGCATACATTGAGCACGCTGAAAAAATTATAAATAAGTCACACAGAAACATGCTTTTAATATCATCTTAAATTATTAGGTTGAAATTACAAAGATCAACGATTGTTTGCAATGTTACGGGTATTTTCATCAATCCAACTACTTACTAGGCATTCTTAAGTAAAATAACGTTGAATATTTTCAGAATCCTATATATACAAGGCCTTACACTCAATCGAGGTGATTTATTCGGCGATACAGCAACTGGGTTAAATGAAAACGAGGTACACACGTCGTCATAAATCATCGCATACCGAATTTATTGATAGTAATTGAATTGATGTTGATGTTTGTATGTCTGGGCTTTTCCAGGTGTATTTGTTTGAGGAAGGACAATGAGATGATTCATTATATCTGAGAGAATTGTAATGTATGAGAATTATTCCATGTTAAGAGATTTTCTCGTGTAGTCACGGTGTAAGAATAACCACTGCCCCAAATCGTTCCGTGGGTGTCGTAGGAGGTGACACAGGGAAACAAATCAGTAGATGGGCAGTAACGTCTTCCTAATAACTACTTAAATAAAACCATAAAAAACTGCGGTTGCCAACCAGCTTGCCAAGCGTGGCAACTATGGTAAAATAGACAATCTTTGCTGGAGGCTTATGTTTTTTTTTTATAGAATTAGGGTGACAAACGAGCACACAGTCCACCTGATGGTAAGTGGTTGATGTGGCCCATAAACATCTGCATCTATTTTCGTTTGCGAAATAAAATGCAGATGCGCTATCAGCCGTGAGGACTAAAATAGAATGCCTCTTTTCCAATAAAAAGGGTCTCCGGTTCTCTACACTCACCATACGAAACACAGCAGCATTGAGCTGCACTTTTACGCTGGTATTCTGTGAGAGCGTGGTCCTTCCCCGTTTGAGCCGACCCATTCGTGCTACAACTATACTATTAATATAGCTGCAGCATGGCTCTACCACGTAAGTATTAAGGTTATGTTCAGCAGTGGACGTTTATAGGCTGTAATGGATGGATGTCTTCACATCAACAGTTTTATTGATTCCACTTTTGCATACAAATATGTGCCATAAGAAAACCGACTACCTATGTTTTTTAATTACACATTTTTGGTCCCATCTACACAGAATAAACTTACAGTATCTTGATGCTAGTACCAATTCATCCAATTCTCTATCTCAATTGAATTTAGGTTTTTTTTTTTAATTTCAATAGCCTTACGAAGCTTTCTTGGTACGAATCAGTTTTATTTTGCTGGCATTTTTTTATTGAATATGGGTGATAAGCGAGCACACAGTTCACCTGATGGTAAGTGGGTGCTGTGGCACAGATTAAATAATGTTGCTAAGTAAGCTGTGGCCCATAGACATCTACATTAGGGATTTTGCGGATATTCGAATGTGTATTCGCAAATGCGGAACATCCGCATTGATTTAGACATCTGCATTTGCATCAGCATCCGCAATCAATGCGGATCTTTGATGTGGATGCAGATGTGGAGCAAGTGGACGATCATAAAATGAGAATGCACACGCTGGTGACAAGATGCAACATTTGTTTTATTTGATCGAGGTAATTTAGGAAGTGTCAGTCAAAACGTTCGTTTCCTCTGTTTGACTAAGTTTATTGTGCGTTCCATAAACATTTCGTCGTATAAATTATACACTTATAAAAGTGAATAACAATGTTGCCACCAGTACAAAGTAATATCTGGATTTTAAATTAGACGAAAGTGATGGGGATAAGTTCCAGTGCAAAGTATGTAAAAAAAAAATTACTCACTAGAGGGACGTACCACAACTTCTTTGAAAAATCATCTTAAATCGATGCACCTAGACGAGTTTAGTTTGTTCGGAAGCTCGAATATCGAAAAACAGTTAAAGAATAAAAAAAAAGATGATACAGGTCAGACCATAGGCACTCTTTCTAAAAATTAATCAAATAGAGAACACGAGTTTACTGTCCCCTAGCTTTTATATTTTGTATTTATTGATATAATTCAAAGTGTTAATTGGGCCAAATTTAAAATAGGAAGATGTTCATGGTGATATTATCATATATTTTATGACACACGGTTTTGATTAGATTTTTTTACTTTAATGCGGTAATTTTTAAGCAATTTATAAAACAAAAAATATATAAACATCTGAATTGAGAACCTCCCTCCTTTTTTGAAGTCGGTTAAAACACTTGCTCGTTTTTAAAGTAGTTTTTGATGTTGATGTTGATTGAAATCTGTTACTTTTCATGTTTTTACTTTCGTTGATAATTAATATACAAATTCCTTCAATGAGTTGCAGCGCTAAGGGCCACGGGTTCGTTTTTAATTTGGATTATTAAAAATTGTATTTTAATGTAACTTAAATAAAAGTATTTTGTTTAAGATTTTTACTCAACATTTTATTAATAAATAAAAATAACATAAAAATTATCATTTTCTATTTAATTGTTTTCCTAAAAAACTTGAACTCCGCATCCGCATCAGCGGATATGATCCTCTAAAAATCCGCATCCGCAGCCGCATCCGCGTCCGCGGGTGTTAAAAATTCTACAACAACCATGATCTACATTTATCCTCCGTTAGAAATCAAAATGCTGATGCGTCTTCACCCCTGAGAACTAAGATGGGATGCATAGTTTCCAATAAAAAGATTCTCCGGATCTCTATATTTATCATACGAAACACAGCAGCACTAAGTTGCTATTTTACGTTGTTATTTTACGTCCTTCCCCGGTTAAGCCGATCCATTAGCTGCAGCACGGCTTTATCACGTAAAAAGTATAGCAAAAATAGGCATGGCTCTACCACGTAGTAATTGTGGGTTGAACCTGAATACGTTCTCAAACTGTAGATTTCCCGGTGCGTCGGTGCTTTTGCTCTTTTAGGAGTATACAAGTTTGATTGTGAATGTGGTCTATCTATGGCTAGCAAGAAGTTTACGCAGTTGCTTTCGAAAGGTATTTATGTCGGTTTGTTGTTGTGGCTGAAAGTTATCAGGAGAATATTTTTAGTCCACTGTAGGACATAGCATACCTAAGTATATGATAGCTGGCAACTATTTCTTGGGAAATTCGCCCATATGTAATAAACAGGCAGTTATTGAGCGCTGAGTCGATACTCAGTAGTAATTTTGTCCTCTAGCACCTTGCCACAGACAAATTTTCGGATGGATTTTCACAGTATGCTAGAGCCTAGTTCATAAAACAGGACACTGCATGTCAAATCACCTGATTTAGTAGGAGTTTGGAGATAAAAGCCACATAATATTTTTGCACTTTACATGCCTTGTTTGATGTTGTTTGTTTGCTGTAAATTTGTTTTAGTATCTACAAAAAAGCATTACACAAATGCATAAAGGCTACTCATTATAGAGAAGTAGCTTCATAAACGTGAACCTGTATATGTTTTTGTTATTGTGCTAATTGTAGTTCCACTTGTTGTTTGCAAATAAAATTACAAAACGGAGTTGTAAATTGCAACGTCACCGCTGCTTCACTACGTGCAAAATTCATGACGCTGTCCATCCTTCGTGATGCACCGGGCATACACCTTATGAAAATTGTGTCAACATCTGCGATATTCGTTCAGTTACTGGCATAAATCTGTGCCCTGCAGCTCCATCTGTCAAAGATGGTAATAATTGCAGTTTGTTCCTTCTATGTAAAGGCTTTTGCCCAGCATTCTAGTGTTAACGGGACGATGAAAATAAGGAAGTTGATCATGTATTTAATCGTAGCGTATCGTAGTTAGCACTACTTTCGCGACAAGTGTTCGTTAAACAACAATCATGGTTAAATAATATTTGCTACTTTCTTCTGTAAGTATTGTTATTTAATATGGACTTTAAATTCGTCACCTTGTAACCAATCCAGTTCAAAGTGCCAACAATTTAAGGCGTTGAAATGTCCATCACGCAATCCTTAGCCTTAATTTTGACAGGCGCGTTATTGAAATTCGCAAATTATTCGTCACGTCGGTATAATTTTGATATAGAGTTTCATTTTGTAGGTCGAACAGATTACATCTTAAATGTACGTATTTATACTATGTATTATAATTGGAGGTCAAAGCGAAAACGTACACGTAATTTATTTAGGAAAAAACTTTTAGTACCTCTTTCCTCGGGAACATTTGCGGCCTATGGCTTATAACGGATAGATATCAGTATATGTATACGATGCGAATATAAAAGAAACCACGAGATCTCGGGCATCGATCGGTGCTAGCCCCGATTTTCATCAGCACTACTGAAACAGTTATATAGAGTGCAGCACTTTTGATTGACCATGCTAGCATATCACGTTTAGCTGTGATTGCCCTTTGAGTAATAAACAAAATGAATAAGCCGGCATTTCAGTGATATTCAAAATGAATTCGAGGGCAACCTCTAACGTGTACTGGAGAAGAGAGATGGTTCTTTCCTACACTATAACCTCGATGAGAGGGCGTCTAAAACTGAATTAAATTGTACAAGTGTGTGCGCAAGCACAGGTGCATTCTCTATTCCCTCACTTTCAAAGTCAGATAGGGCTGCAATCTGATATGATGCAATGACCGGAGACCAACCAAACCAACGGCTTTACGTGCTTTGCGAAACCAGAGGGTCTTCTGCCACTGCCATTGCCAGCTTCCTGACTCCCTGAAATTCTTGACAGAAAAATCCAATAACTGATTTTGGCCTGACTTGGGATTCAAAACTTCAAACCAACTGTTGCGCTTACCACTACACCAACGAGACAGCCAACCAGCATTTAAAAAAATATAATTTATATACCAGATATAATTTTAGACGTGGTAGAACCTGTAGCTATATTATAGTTATACACGAATGGGTCGGCTCGACAGGGGAATGACCACGCTCTCTCAATATGCCAGCATAAAATAGCAGCTTAATGCTGTTGTTTTTCGTATTGTGAGTATAGAGAACCAGATACACTTTTTACTGGAAACGAGTTATTCCATCTTAGTCCTCAGCGGTGGCAACGCATCTGCATTTTGATTCTTCATCGAGGATTGATATAGATGTATATGGCTTCCACTTACCATGAGGTGGACTGTGTACTCGTTTGTCACCCTTTTTCTATAAAAAATAAATATATCTGGTACAGCGATCATCAATTCGCCTGCCCAGTATGAGCCTACAATGGGAAAGACCCACGTCTAGCAATGATCTTGTAAAAGCTTTTGAAGAATCTTTTTATAACCGATTCCCTGTTTAAGGTCTTTTTTATATGTTATAATATTTTTCAAACGATGAGTGTAGAAAATTGGAGACCTTGTTTCTTAACGAGTAACGAAGCATTCCATTTGAGTTCTCAAGCATCTTTATATGGAACGGAGAGGGAAGAATTGAGTCATGCAACTGCTGCACACACTCTCCGAAATATTAAGAACCGAAACCCTGTAAAGCACTGAAAGGCTGGTTACTTTGCGTCTTTGCTTATGACTAGTAAGATTTATTTTAACCATATTGTGCTTTGATTCATTATCGATGATAGAAATATAGGTACTACTGGTGCGGAAAAAACCTCTGTCCTAGGAAGAACCAGCAAGAAACCCAGCGGGACGTTTTTGTCTTTTTTTTGTCAGCGTCCACTTACCATCATGAGGATTCTGTTATCATTTGTAACCGATAAGTGAATATAACGTATGTTTATTATTGTATTTAAGCCATTAATGAATTTAATCTATAAATATTTCGATTGCATTATTATAATCCAAACTTTAATTGCGTTCGTTTATTAACTGGTAGTGTTAGTGAAATGAAACGAGATCGATAGTAATATTCTTAGGAAACATTTATTTCTATAACCTTAGATATGTGTTAATTTACAATTTATTTACAACTTATACCAATCAGTTCCAATTTCTTTATTCCATTACAAACTATCTCACAATAACAATCTCAAGTACCACTTGTGTTATATCTGTTAAAATTCATCAGATAGATACTGTATGAACATGAAACGAAATGGACATCTTTTATTTTATAGCTGTATGGTATATACTTAAGTTTTATTTAACAATTATATACATATTACATTTTTTAAACTAAACAATTGTTTTAACATTCGTAAATCTGACATTGCGCGTTACTTTCAAATGTCTTTTCACAGCCTTACAATCTAATGACTAGGTGATGACTTAGATTTACATATGAACAATGAGACAAATGAAATATATAATAATTTGGTCATATTAATCAAATAAAACGTTCTGTCGTTTATGACAATTTCTTAAATTAATGCGCCTGGCCGGATTAAGCCATGTAGAGGCCCCTAGGCAATACGACTGTCGGGCTCCTCTTACTTTTCCTACATCTTATATCAGGTAATAAATCTTTTTTCTAAGACTTCGCAGGCAGTTGCTTACTTTGCCTTTAGTTTAATCCGGTCCCGTAGCATCCGCGTGAAAACGTTTGCAAACATTGTATAAAACTTTTTTAAAGATTTTTTTGGCGTTTTATTTCACTACTTTATATTTCCGACGTTTCGAGTGTTTGCAGCACCTACAGTCACTCTTCTAATTGTTAATTTTGTATTAATTTAATTTTATTGATTACAGATACACAATCAATTTAATTAGTTACAGATTCTAAAGCAGATGGTAGCTTACACCAGCTTTCAAATTTCTTCTAAGATGGCATGGATACTCAGCCTTCTTGTGATCATAGTTCTTGTAAAGCATCATGGTCACAAGCATGGTGCTTGCAAAGAACGTCGGGGATATAAAAAAATAAACTTGTAAAACCGTAAAAAAGTTATAATTTCATTCAATTATGCGTTTAAAAGAATTGATTATATCAGGCGCTCATTTTATAAAAATACTTTCTTTATAAACTTTTATAAATATTTCTGTTGCTTCTGCTTTATTATATTATTATCATTATGTATCTAAAAATAAATAAGAATACCAAATGTTATTATTATAATTCGAAATGCATATTAAACTATTTCATAGTATGTACGTTAAAAATGCAAAACTGAAATTATCTTTTTTGGAGAGACTATAAGGTTCAAGACATAGATAAATTAAATGTATAAAACGAATGTGTTACTTTTTTTAGTTTCTTAAAAAAAAACTTGCCGTGCAGTGGCGGCGTTCGATGATCCCATATCCCGTGGCTGTCGTAAGAGGCAACAGAGGGAAATGAAATAGTAGAATGGACAGCAGCATATTCCTGATAACAACTTAAAAAAAAATACCAGGGTTGCCAAGCGTGATAAATATTTCCCCGATGAGGCAATCTATTTTCTATGTCGAGCGATGGACTTTTGATAGGTCTTAATGAATTAATAAAATGCATTAATGAATTGGATCTATCATAATATTTAACCTACTTACATTAATAATACTGTATAAAAGTAGAAAAAAAGTTTGTCACTTTAAGTTTCTCTAGGTAATGCTTAAGGCATAACAGCCTTAAGAATTTCAGAAGGACCAAATTGAGTCTCGTGACTTATTTCTTATCAAACGTTAAAATAAATTGAAACAATAAAATATATCAACAATAGCGGAATTTGATTGAAAGAAAATCTAAGCTTTTTTCTTCGTCAAAATAGTAAACGTCTAAGGATGTTAATAGTTTTTTTTTAAATATTTAACACATAAATATATTTTGGCACTTATACAAGTATTTTTTAGCCTACAACAAATAGTTAATCATATTTACTTAAAGGGATGTACGCTTAGACTCTCATTCAAAAAGGTATTACACACGTATAAATGTATAGGTTTTTAATTATTGTCGAAATTACAAATTGGAACGTAAACACTAAATACAGCATAGGGCACTTTCACACTGGCGCTTACTGGTAAATGATTATTTTGGTCTACTTGTCCGTCGATATCCTATCAGTATCGTCGTCGGTATTGGTGGCCAATGTAAAAGGGCTCATTGAGGTAAACATATTTATTCAATTTTCCTATAATATCATCTATATATAAACATTAATGCAGTTTAATGCAGTAAAGCTCAAAACTATGCACCGACACTCATACTCTGAAGTCTATAATATAATGACTAGTAATAAAATTTTGGTACAAAAAGGCCCACGTCCAAGTCCCCATACATAACCAAATTTAATTAATCCGCTGTTTTCGAAATTTTTCTTTCGAGTTTCCAAGGATTTCTTTGGGTGATGTTTCTGCGGCTTTCAGTCTCCATTGTGACTGTATATGCACATATATTTTTCTGTGTGGATTGCTTCGGTCTTACAAATCTAGATTCATCCAAGCTCCAGTACAGTCGACTAGCACAAAGGCATTAGTAATACCAATCAGCTTCCGAGTGGAAATTTTGATAATTAATCAAATGGCAGCTGACAGCGGGGTCGGGGAATTGAACCTGGTGGGCACGGGTAAGCAGGCGAGCCAGACAGCGCCAGCGCTGGCGAGGCATCAGCGCGCCCGGTGCGGTGGCTGCGTGGCCGGTCAGGGCGCGGCGGCGGCCAGCGGCGGCCGCGACGGCGCGGGCACTCGCGGGCACGCCACCACTGAACCACTGCGGGTCGTCGGGCTGTTATTCGTCGCACCACCTGCACAAAGAATTATAATCATACATTCATTCCATCCAAATTATAACCTATAAAAGTTCAGTGCCTATACCTATACCTCATTGATGGGATTTTGTCATGGTTGGCATTAGCATTCGCAGTTTTTATTATTATTTAGAGTTGTTCTCACAGCATTGATAGAGTTATGAGCCGTGAGGCATGCCATCTTAGTTCTCTGAGGTGGCAACGCATCTGTTGTTTATTTGAGATTACCAGTAGTTGCAGATAACAATCAGCTGCAGTAGACACTTACTATCTAGTGGACTGAAGTGGCAAACTTACATTTTTTTATAGGGTTGGGCGACAAACGAGCACACAGTCCACCTGATGGCAAGTAGTTGCTGTAGCCCATAGACATCTACATCTATCCTCGATTACGAATCAAAATGCAGATGCGCTGTCACCCGTAAGGACTAAGATGGAATAACTCGTCTCCAGTAAAAAGGGTATCCGGTTTTCTACACTTATCATACGAAACACAACAGTGTTAAGCTTCTATGTTACGCTGGTATTCTGTGAGAGCGTGGTCCTTCCCCGGTCGAGCTGATCCATTCGTGCTACAACTATACTACTAATATAGCTGCAGCATGGATCTATCACGTAAAACATCAATTTACAAAAAAAAAAAACACCGGCTTGTAATTGGTATTCTAGGTGATAGAGCTCTGTCTTGGTTGGAATCAACCTCAACCCTCTTATCTATTTCTACTGCTAAGCAGCTTTTACACACACTGTTGTGTTTTAATTTGTATGGCTATAGAACCAAGTTCCTCCAAAAAACCCAAACCTTAGTCTCCTTAGTGGCAGGAGGATGGTAACTATTCAGACCGGTACGTAGTAGATTTTAATGTTCTTATAAGCGCACACAAGCCTTAAGTGAAAGAAATATTTTTAAATTATACTGTGTGTGCAAACATGTGTAATGGGTTTAAAGCTTGGACCCATCTAAAAAGCCTGTTACCGTACGCCGTTACGTAGGCTAGTATTGGAGTAGAGCAATCGTTTGAATTTGATATTAAACATAAAACTCATATGTTATCTAGTAATTTCAGGATGATTATTCTGTCTAGTCTGCAATATTGGTGGATATTAGATTTCCTGACGATTTGAGACGAAACTTTCACGGTTGATTTGCGTGGGCCAAGTTAGGCCTGGGAAAGTGTGATCGTTATTTTTTACGCTCTTCATTTTTATTCATATTTAGAATTCGAAAACTTATAATTTACAGTTATAAAATGTACCTATTAGCGAGCCAAGCATCTTCGTGACGGAGAACTTTCGCGTGCGCTGAGGCGTGCGCACTTCGGCGAGCAAGCGGTCGACGCACCGGTAGAGGTCGCCAGAATTGTCCGCCACACTTGCCTCACTGAACGAAGCGCCGTGAGCCGCGCTGACTGCCTGTCCTTCTTTTGTGGGAACCTATAATTAAGAAGATAATACTTAACTACAGTAAATTATGACTGAAGTGACGCGTTATTCTATGTTGATTTTTAAATATTGCACTTTTTCGATTAAATAAATAGCATACATTGTGTGTAAAACAAGGTATCATTACAATCTACTACAAGAACCCTATGGGATATAAGCATTCCCCAAATACTGGCAGCATTACAAAGCATGGTCCATTCATCTATCGACTCTCTGCACGTTTTATCAGGTGGTCACGTTTGGGTAAAATAAGATGTTATAATTAATTAACGCACGTGCCTAATGTATTAAAATTATGTATTACGATTAATATCACTTATTTTTTCCATTACTATCGCATTTGTTTTTACGTGGTAGAGCCAGCTATAATATGGTTGCAGCACGAATGGGTCGGCTCGACCAGGGAAGGACCACGCTCTCACAGAATACTGCTGCTGTGTTTCATGTGGTGAGTGTAGAGACTCTTTTTACTGGAAACGAGGCATTTCATCTCAGTCCTCAGGGGTGACAACGTATCGGCATTTTGATTCTTAATTGAGGAGAAATGTAGATGTCTATAGGCGACAGCATCCACTTACCATCAGGTGGACTGTGTGCTCATTTGTCACCCTTATTCTATAAGAAAATGTTGGGATGATGAAGTACTAATAAAATTTGTGAGTACTAATCGTAATAAAGGAACCACACGCGCAGTATTAATAGTAAAGTATATGTAAAAGTCCGAAGAGTTGCAATATAAACAACATAAATTCTCTGAGAAACGATCAATCTTTCGATATTCTGATCAGAGTTTTATTTGTCAAAAATAACTTAGAGGCCGACTCAAATCGTAATAAAAAAAATCAAGTTCAATTTTTCGTAAGTATGCGTGTCAATGTTTTTTCATCATCACATACGATTTATAACGCGGATTTGTAATACATTTGGAATTTCTAGTATATCTGTACCCATTTTGCGAAGATTTATAGATGTATACGTTGGCTGCTAAGCTGTGAATAGTTCTGTCGCATAAATACAAAATCTTGGATGCAAATCTCAATTGAGGCGGCGACACAAGGACGTTACCTACGCCATTGTCTCGACAGGGAGAACGTCAAACTTTCGCCATGTTTTTTCTGGTTTTGTCACTATATACGCAATGTATATAAGAGGGTAGCACATACTGGGTAACAGCATAGATGAAACACTATAGTATTTGGGTGCTAACTACAGTTTTCAATGTTTGATTAGGTTATTCGAAAATTTTGGTATTTACCTTTATATAAATCGCGTTTCATATTAAAAGATCAGATTTATCTCAAAACAGAATAAAATCGTTATTTTAGTAATTAAAATGTGTTTAAAATTTGAATGCATAAATCATTTATCAAATTCAATTACGTATTTCTATCAGATAAAAGTTAGTATACATAGACATTTTGAGATAAACACATTTTATAATTACAATCGGCAATTCGACTGCCAAGCATCTCAATTATGTCAGATACCATGTATAACGGGCAAACATATCCTATATAACAATTGAGGAGGAAACAAATTTTCACAAATTTATTTATTGTCGGTATAATATATTAAAGTAGAAATCTAAATAAATTATATTTATTTATTGTTAACATACGGTTTAATCTACATATTTAAGTGACGTAGTAACCTTGATTTATATTTTATGATAAAGAATTACGTTAGTAATATTATATTACGAGAATTAAACATAAAGAAAGCTTTTAACGTATGTAACATTCAAAAATCCAAAGAAATCAAATACGACTCACTTCGCAATCCAATTATGTTATTGTAAGTCAAATGTAGAATATTAAATAATACTTTTAAAAAGGTCTAGGAGTCGTTTAAAGGACATGACATTGTGAACTGGAAAAAAATATTAAAGTTACCCTACGCCTACTTTTAAGCTCTTTTAATTTTAAAAATAAAAAAGTGGTTGATTATAAATTTGTATATATTAGTTATTATAACTTAAGTTGCATAAGTTTTTACTTCAGTCAAAAAATTAAATCGAGTTGCTTAAGCTTGTAGCCTATCCAGGGAAAAGAGAATTAAATCATTGGTAGCACAATACTAAATTTTAGAATTTAATATTATACTTATCTTGGTGTTGTCAATACATCTGAACAATCGTAATGATAGTTCGATGTGCTGTGATTATATCAGATAGGTACATGTACAGAATGAATATAACTCATCAACAGCTTTTATAAGCTCGCTTTGGGTGTACCCTTTTCCATTTAGGTATGCATCAGACGATATTAATTACTTAAATAATTTGGTGAGCGCAGAGCAGACCACTAGATATAGTGCGAAGTGTACCCCATCACGAATCTGCTTAACTATGGGTTTAGCAATTTTTGAACGGATTTTACGTTATCAGCATCGACGGCTGTATTATTTATTATATCGATAACCGTTTACGATACGTAATGATAAAGTTGACATTTGGGAATAATATTAACATATTTCCCCTTACACATAAAATAAATCCTTCCTGTTCTAATTGTAGAATGTTAAATATGGTCTTCATTTCATGTATAATAAAAAAATACGTATTTTGATAACAAATGTGTGCAAAAATTACATGGCTTAATTCCCCATTCTCCCGTCCATCAGTGGACCACCAGACGCTCGGCTTTTCTCCAACTCTTTTTTGTTGAAGTCCCGAGCATTTGAACTAAAGGTTTGTTTTGTCGTTCATAATACGTACAACAAAAGAGTGGAATAGTTTGCTAGTATCTGCCTTTTCCTAGGATAATAAAGTGTGTGTTTTCAAAATAAGAGTGATTAGGCTTTTACTACCTAGGATTACATATCATTTACCACTAAATAGAATTTTAGTCTAGCACAGGCTTATATTAAGTAAAAATATATAGTAAAAAATGGTGAAATGTCGAACAGGTTTTTTATAACGTAAATAATATAACGGAGCTTTACAGAATACACGTGATAGAGCCACGCTGCAACCATATAATGGTTGTAGCACGAATGTAACGCCTCGACCGGGGAAGGACCATGCTCTCACAGAATATTAGCGTAAAATAACAGTTTAATAGTGCTGTGTTTTGTGTGATGAGTGTAGAGAACTGGAGACCCTTTATACTGTAAACGAGGCATCTGCATTTTAATTCTTAATCAAGGACAAATGTAGATGTCTATGGACTATAGCATCTACTTACATCAGGTGTACTGCTCGTTTAGCATCCCTAATCTATAAAAGAGAATGCTTGATTTTGTATCTAAATTATTTTAGAATATTTCACGCACTGACCTGTCTTAAGTGATCCAAATCCGTCTTGTTTCCCAGCAATGCGAGAGGCATAGTGGAGGGTGAGGCACCGGGACCGTGTGCAGGGCTGCCGTTGGTAGGTGTCCGTTTCAATGTATTTAAAACTTCGGTAGCATAGTCAAAACTGCTTCGATCCGTTACAGAGTACACAAGAAGGCACGCATCAGCCCATTGAATCTGAAACAAGGATTTGAAAATTAATTTTATAAGTTCACTTCACGGGGTGACCACATGATAAGATGTTTCGGGAGCGTTCTTAGTGGCAATGCAATGTTTAGTACATAAGCCTCTTAGTACGGTAGTAAAGATTGAAAAATTTGCCTAAATGGCTTTGTTTGTAAGGAATATTCGGGTCGCAACGCCTCATGCTTACTTTTTCAAGATTTTAATACCATTTATTCTTGCAAGGTTTTGTCTTATCAAGCATCTAAATTGGTCGGTACTACCATCATATATTTCTGCTCCAAAACAACAGTGTATCTGTAGTAGTTGTTTCGGCTTCAAGGATATGAAAAGACACTGTCTCTTCTATGTTTTTATATAATCATTTCAGTTCGTTGTATTTTCGAAACCCACCACGGAATGAAAGGAGATTGATTCTTTGCACTAGGCACTGTTTATAAGTTTTAAAAAAAAATATCTACGAATCAAAATGCAGATGCGTTGTTACCCGTGAGGACTAAGATGGAATGTCTCGTTTCCAGTAAAAGGGGTCTCCGGTTCTGTACACTCACCATACGAAACACAGCAGCGTTGAGCTGCTATTTTACGCTGGTATTATGTGAGAGTGTGTTCCCACCCCGGACGAGCCGACCCATTCGTGCTACAACTACACAACTACATAATATGGCTCTACCACGTACAAGCCAGGTGACATGATAAATAGTTAAATTATTAGAGCAAATGATATTAATTATTGCTATAAAGCCCATGTAACTATGATTTTAGTTTCAAAACAACTGATATGACCATATTGTAACTTTTATAGTTAAAATTTATTGATTAAAAAGATAACGTGTCTTGAATAAGAGCATCATATTGCATCAGCGAATTGGTTTATGTAACTGATCACGTATTACCCTTTTAATTAATAATAATTTATGAATAGAAATATTGCAATAAAGTATATAAATAGTATTATAATAATAGAGTTAATGTAAAATATCGTAAAAGATGTGAAACATTATCCACACATCTTTAGACACAGTTAAACGTCCTCAAATATCTATGTTTTATGGAGTCATAAATGAAGCGGGCAGTGATGTTCTCCCGTAAAAATGTAACGACGCGACGTGATGCTTTGTTTGCAGAATTTTTTGTTTGTTGTAGATTATATCAGGCTGCTGAAAGCTCATTTTAATGACCTCTTATAATGTTTCTTTAGCTCCAGGGTCTTCCTTATGATTCGCAGTTTTATTTCACTCTACAAATAATATTAAAACACTCATGCGTGTTTTGCTTCCGGAATAATAAATCGATGAATATCGCGTTGGGGAATAATTCACATTCTGTATGGAAATTTGCATCACAGTTGACACGTTAAAAACTGAAGATACTTTTACTGTTGAACATTCTTGTGAGCATTCCACATGATCCTTAGCGGTAACAACAACGTACTGTAATTTGATAACTAACCGAGGACATTTGTAGTCTTGTAGGTAGGATTTTTCATTGTATAAAAATATAATATATGTATTAGGTTATTAGGTAATAAACGAGCACATAGTCCACCTGATGGTAAGTGGTTGCTGTGGCCCATAAACATCAACATCTATCCAGGTTTGCGAACCAAAATGCAGATGCGGTCTAAGATGGAATGGCTCGTTTCTTGTTCTTCTGCTCATTTTACGCTGGTATTCTGTAAGAGCGTGGTCCTTCCCCGGTCGAGCCGACCCATTCGTGCTAAAACTATGCAGCATGGCGCTACCACGTATAAACCACTGTATTCTTCAACAAAACTTATATTCAGTTGAACTCTGTGCGTGTTTGTAATTTTTACTTGCATTAAAATTATGCACAGGATAAAAAAAATTGCGGCAGATAGAAATATGATCAGAATCTTTAACTCATTATCTTTCATTCAGTTTTTTAAACTCTCTTGGATTAGACGAATTTATTATGTTTAATAAGATGATGATCGCAGCACTAGATTCTTCGCATCATTAACATAGCTTAAAATAATTATGAATAATATCACAGAATAAATAATAATAATAGTTGATAATATTGCATGCCTTAAGCGTAAAGCGCGTAGGTATTGCATGCCTTAAGCGCGAAGTGCGTAGGTATGTTCTACTAGCGCCTAAAAATCAAGGTTCCAACGTTTTGTCGCATAAAATCGTATCTAACAATCATATTGAACATATCAGTTATATAAAAAGCACGTTGTTAGAAAGATAAATGATTATTGGACTTTTTTTTTTTTAAATCGATTAATTGCTATTTTTACATAAAAAAAGTGGTTTTAGTGGCGTATGGTGTAGATTTATCAAGTACGCATGGAGTGGTAAACACGATAACTTTTGAAAATATCAATTGTTGAACTCAATTTATTTTTTAATCTCTTCTTCTATCATGTGGGAAGTCATTGAATGTAAATAGCAGTTTCATTTTGTTTTGTTTAGTTATAATTAATTTTTCGGCTGCGGAATCTCGAAATTTTCGGTGTTTTAGCAGCCGCAGCGCAGATGTGCCGTTTTCGGGCTCGTTTTGTTAGTTATGATGAGAGACCTTACCTTCGGACGTGATAAAATGACCTGAAAGTGTACTTCGGTGAATGCTATTGGAACTCCTCGAAGAGTAGAACTAGGTATCCCGAGCTTGGGCTCGTTTTGTTAGTTATGATGAGAGAACTTACCTCCGGATTTGAGAGAATGACCTGAAGGTGGACTTCAGTGAATACTATTGGAACTTTCCGAAAAGTAGAACTAGATGTGACGAGTTTGGCCTCGTTTTGTTAGTTATGATGAGACCTTACATCTCAACTTGATAGAGTGATCTAAAGGTGTACTTTGATGACTGCTACTGTAACTCCTCGACGAGAAGAACTAGGTGTCCCGAGTTTGGGCTCGTTTTGTTATGAATAGACGTTACCTTTACCTCCGGACTTGATATAGCGACTTGAAGGTGTACTTCGGTGACGGCTATTGGAACTCTTTGATGAATAGAACTACAATTTACATTTTTTAAATTTTTTCACGATCATATGAGCATTATGAGTCGTGCACGTTTGGATTTTTCAAGCTTTTTTAAATTAAAATTTGACATAAAGTTATCGTAAAATTTGAAGTATAGTAATAATTACAAGGTTTTTAGTGGAAACATGTGTAATTAAGGCATGCATAATTGGATTTACCAATATTTAAACCTATTACGTTATAAAACATGTTTCAGTTTTTTCTTGTTGTTGATTTTTATGAAATAGCTAATTTCTGTTCATTGTTATCTTCATAATTATTTTGAAATTAAAAAAAAATGCAGATACCAATTCAATTATGAGAAATGCACAAAAACTAATCGATTTCAAGCATTTCACACCGTATCAATTATTATGTTTTGCTGAGTTTTCGAATACAAATACAAATGATGAGGGAAGCTGAATAGAGAATTAGTACGAATAAACCCACACAGCGAAGTTTATTATATATTATACTAATTAGTGTGTCGGAGCCAGAATTCTTGTTTAAAATTAGCCATTAGACTAATTCACGGGCGCTTCCACGGCGCGGTGGCGTAGAGCGTTTCCTACAGTTTGTCATCATTCATTGTTATTGTGAATTAAAAGTAGGTTTTACATCATATTACTTAAATTGTACATTTTATCTTTATTTAATATTTCAATTCATTATTTAAAAATTTATAATAATTTTGTTTTGATCGACAAAGACGCTGTTACTTTATTTTGGTCTCCATTTATCAGTCTGCTCTCTTAGAACAAATGGATGCCTTCCGCAACATCGGTTCTCAGTTGTCTAGGAAGTGGTGATCATAATTTATTCTTACGTATAATTTTTTTGAATGCAACATTAAGGCAGCCCTAAATAATGTTTATAAATTATTGAAGCGATCACTTCGGCACCGCACATTGAACTGTAAGAATTATGTCAAAATTTGAGAATTATGTATATCTTTTGTTTTATTTCGAATTTAAAAATATTTTCATGCAGAAAAATATTCTGTCAGTACCTAACTAAATTTAGAACGTTATATTGCTTAGAGAAAGAAAACACTGGGTCAGACTTATTAGGTTTGCTTATTTTTGTAATTAACGAGTGTAATTTGAATCCGATCTTTTTAGCACGTCTGTGGACTATTAAATTGTAAATACGGAAGCATCGTTTTGAACTGACACTAGATTAGACTGGATTCAAAAATAAAACTTGCGATATGAATTTTTTTTTGGCAGCGCGAATTCACGTAAAGGAGGTAGGTATATAGTTCATTAGTTCATACACGGAGCATACATGTTAACGTAACTCTGCAATGTAAACACTGTGAGTCATAGTGCATGAGCGCGGGTCACTAGAGCGGCTAGAGCCGGAGCACATTCTCGTAGAGCTTGTATTATATTTGTAACTATTAACCCAGTTTGTGCGAACATAAAACAGTTTCAAACTTTGTTTAATCTTTGATTTGTTTGCGGAAGGGTTCATAAGAGAATTCCTAAGATTCGATTCAGTTGTGCTACCAATGTGGATTCGCTGTACAGCCGTTACGACATTAATCGCAGAAATTAATATGATGCTGGTTATACTTGAATGTTTTCTCTGATAACTAGGTTAGCTTTTAAATCAAAGTCATCGAAAAGTGACACTCGGAATTAGAATGCGTGATTTTTTATTTTTTTACAAGTATGTGTAACAAATTAGCTCATAGTATTGACTGTGATGGTAAGTGAATCCTATGAATATGTGAGCTTATATATCTTTCCTTGTATTAGTCGAAATATACAGATTTGTTGTCAGATGCTTGATGACTAAAATAGAAGTAATTATTTATAAATTTTTTATAGGATAAGGCTGGCTAGCGAGCACACAGTCCACCTGATGGTAAGTAGGTGCTGTGGCCCATAGACATCTACATTTATCCTCGTTTGCGAATCAAAATGTAGATGAGTTGTCACCCGTGAGGACTAAGATGGAATGCCTCTTTTCCAGTAAAAAGGGTCTCCGGTTCTCTACACTCACCATACGAAACACAGCAGCATTAAGCTGCTATTTTACGCTGGTATGTGAGAGCGTGGTCCTTCCCCGGTCGAGCCGACCCATTCGTGCTACAACTATGTAATTAATATACAACATGGATCTACCACGTATAAAAATAGTATACGTATACAATAGTAAAAAAATAATAGCTTCCCCAGTGCCATAGAAACTGCTGCATTACGTAACTACTGTTCTGCTGGCATTCTTTGGGAGCGTGGCTCTTCCCCATGCGATTCGACCGCAGCCCTAAAGTTGCTGTGTGGGTCTATTAAGATAAGTTAATTCTTCTTTATTCTTATTCAGATTTCATGATATTAAATATCGACTGCTGGGCATAGACTTCTTCCATTGTTTGAAAGATTTGCCTTAACGATTGTAACATCAGGCGTTTCGCATCTTTGACGCTGTTGCCTGTTGCCGGTCTGGATATTTTACTTCTGTCGTAAACGAGATGGTATGCTGCTATCTTTCGGCAGTCATAAGAATTATCTGGCATTTCCTACAGTCCCACGAGAGGAAATGGCGTGTGGGATTACGCCACCACAACACGGTGCATCTATAAGTAGTATGCAATAAATATAACATAGCAACAATGTAGCTTTTTATGTTTACGGATAGCTAAAACATTGACAGCTACAATATTCAAATAGTTATTTATAATATTTTGAAGGTGAAAAAAGTACAATCCAGCCGTTGTTGGGTTAACCCAGTATGTACTATACGTAATATAACCTACATGAATACGATCTCGGCGAATATTATTTTAAAGACATCTAAGTCATCATCAATCTTTTGATTTAGTAACTGTATTTTATTAAGTACTTAATGTTTTATTATAAATAACATTCAGTAATTTTTTCCTTTATTATTTAAATTTTTATACACCATATTGTGTGGCAAGCTTTTACTATTTATTCATATCTGTGGAAACTTAATTGGTTTTAGGATTACTTTTATATTTTTTATAATGTAATTTTTATTTTTGTTTCCCTTAAAAAGTAAATAAATAAATAAATTTTGTTTTTAGGCGTCAAAGGTCGCTTCGATACTTGGATTCCCAGCTATATTTTATGAAGTTGAAAGTTGCTGAACGTTTACCAAGGTATTGTGTTAAACTGCATTAACCTAAATGCAAGCACCAGATGCATCGTTGTTATATAAATTGAAATGTTTCCTATCAACAGTACTAATAATGAGAATGTGGTTTTATCCAAGTTAGGTGATTTATCAACCGTGTAGCGCCCTGTAATGCATCTTTTCTATGAGTGTAATATATATAAGTAAATTAGATGGCCAGGCAGAATTTTTACTGCCCTTTCAGACGACTTGTTTTCCTTTAAAATATTTTTATATAAGCAATAAAAATATTGAGGATCACTTATCTGGATAAAACTATCCTATCTCTCAATACACATTTACAAAATTTCATTAAAATCTATTGGGTGGTTTCTGAGTTCATCGCTGACAACCAATGTGACACGTAATTTTTTATATAAAGGTATAAAGATATTAGAAATGACAATCGTTTTCGTTTATGTTCAATATACAAAATGTTTGAATAAACAAAATTATTGCATTTTAAGAAACAGAAAGAAAGATAAGGATATTTCTGGCCTTTTCTTTACAAATTTTGGTGGGCACTGACAACTCAATATAACCATTATACAAAGCAATTATTTTATTATAAACAAAAGTCATTATAAAAAGCAACTAAATTTAACTATAATTTAACAATTATTACCTGTTCTGCTGGAAATTTATCAGCATTAGAACCGGATACGTCAATCACTTCCAACTCTATTGGTGTTCCATTAATTGGCACCGTTTGTCTGTACAGGAGATCTGTGGAGAGACGAGACGTTATTAATAACGATACTACAGATTCAGATCAGATTGTTATTCTTCTTTATTAGCCCTAACAAGGTCCATTGTTGGGCATGAGTCTCTCTTATATATTTCATCTAATATTTTACATCTGATATATGAGATGGTTTTACCGACATCAATCGGAGGTCATTAGATCTGCGTGGTGTTTCTGATCTCCCAATCTCCAACACTTACGAAACACAAAGGGCGATATGACAGTCAATATTGCAAATTATAGCATGCCTTGAATTATATTTTTAACATTGCGTCTTTACTGGAGATAAATAAGATACAATAATATTGTTTTAATTGTATTATGATTGAATTGATAAAGTTTTTTTACTACTAACCTGTGTTTGAATGGTATTCGCCAATGTACCTCCTTGTTAGATATCTGACGATTAGAGCTGAAACAAAAAGGATATGTTAGTGATCTTTCCATATTTAATATGAAATTTTAATGTTTAATATATATATTTATTATGAAAAGCAATATTAAAATCAAAAGAAAGTATTTTATTTAAAATAGTTTCAATAATAATGAAGGATAAAATGATAAAAATATGCTACTTGGTCGGTTATTAAAGAGACCCGAGACTTCTATGTTGTAGTTTTTTCGTTGCTTGCTGAAGAATTTATAAAATACTAGCGATAAAAACAATAAAGTCTGGTAATAAATTTATTTAGGAATAAATACACCATAGACTTTTTTTGGAATAATTTTATATTTATCCGGAGACACTGTAGTGTCTCACGCTATATGGTAGAGCCACGCTGCGGCTATATTTTGGTTGTAGCACGAATGAGTCGGTTCGAACGGGGTAGGGCTGTTGTGATTCGTATGATGAGTGCAGAGAACCGGAGACCCTTTTTACTGAAAACGAGGCATTCTACCTTAGTACTCAGGAGTGACAACGCATCTGCATTTTTATTCTTAATCGAGGATAAATGTAGATGTCTAAGCGGTGCACTGTCCATTTATCACGAGGTGGACCGTGTGCTCGTTTGTCATCGTTATTCTAAAAACAAAATTATATAAGGAGGAGGAGGAGGTCCCACATTTCTCTCTTGTTAAATTTACAGTTTACAATAGTTTCGACTAGGTACAGTTAAATAGTTTTAAAAGCAGCGCTATACCGATTGACATTTATGAACCACAAATCGGCATATGGAACGACAGATTGTTTTTGCCGCACATCGGTTAGTTGTTTAATAAAATGTGCCCGCATTACATCATTCTGTAGAATGGGTAACTGGATTGTTCGTTTGGTTTATGTAATTTCATCTAGGTTGGAATTTTGTTATTGTTTGTTTTTCTTGTCCGGGCAATTCGTTTCGTTATTATATTATTTAATTCGTTATGTCAGAATTGGTCAGAATATGATCGTTCGTAGGTTAATTCAAGACTTAGTGTATTCTAAGTTTATGGTTCAAGAAAATATTCGCCCCCGTTTAATTAAGATTTGATAATTCACTTTTTAACGTATTCCATAGGGTAATTCAAATATAGTTACCCAAGAACTTTTATAGATCGAATTATAATTATCTTTATATAAGTTCGTCTGTTCGTAAGTGCGTCTGTTCTTCAGACGATGTCTCATAGCTATGCTAGGATTAGATAGAATAGAATAATTTTTATTCACTATAGATTATTACATAATATTTATTGAAAGTCATTTTTTTATTTACCACTGGTTCGGAAAATACCTCTATCCTGGGAAGAATCAGTAAGAAACTCAGCGTGAATATTTTTTAAACATATTTCACTTTATAATAACTTGTGTTGTGCATGTTTGTACAAATTTTAAACGAGTTTTAAGAGAACCATGCTGGTTCTGTAATCGATGTCGATCAGCTCTCTCCCAGGCGTTTTTGTCATTTATGTATTCTTTGATATTATAATAACCCTTTTTGTACAATTTTTCTTTAATAAAAAATTTAAATTTGTTTAATGACAAATTTTGTACATTAGATAGATTGGGCTGTAGTCAAGTTATTATCAATTTCCACATGAAAATGACTCATATTCACAAAATAATTATGTAGCCAGGTAACAAACACTACTAGGTTTTTTTTTAATTAATCGTACATTTTGGTCAAATTCGTGTGGGTTCTAACGACGCCACTATACGACGAGATTAATTTAATGTTTATATAAGTGGAACTGGATAAGGTTTAATGTTTCATAAAAACACTAAAGTGAAAGCAGTCTGAAAATTTTCGGTCGACCGTAAACCTTTTAGAGTATGATAGGGCACTTACAGGCATTTGGGTCATCAATAAACTTGTACATTTAAACATGTAAACAATAAAATTTTCTAAACTTTAAAAATAACTTTTGTCATTTTACATATTTCATTAAAGTATTTTAAACGTATTACCTTTATGTGTGGTCTTACGTGTGTAATTTAATAAGATCATTAAAATTATCATTGTCATCATTACCGTTACCGTTATAACCTATTAAAGTCCAGTGCTGAACTCTCACCCATAGATTGCGTCATAGGGGGTTATTTGCCATACTTGTCGTGCTTGTCAAGCTGGTTGATAACCGCAGTTTTTTATTTTTAGTCCTTGCGCTGCTGCCTATTTATAGTTTTCCACTCTGTCGCCTCTTACGACACTCGCGGCATGATATGGGGTAGTGGATATTCTTACACCGCCTCTACACGGTACACGGTACTTCATCATTACATCCCTTCTCAAGTCAACTGCTGAACAAAGGTCTAAACAAAGAATGCCACAAAACACGGCTGTGAGCTACCTCCATCAAGCGATATATGTCTTTAAATATAAATTATATAGTGGGTGATGGATGGAAGTGTATTTTAAATTCTTTGTGACGTCATTTTGCATTAATTAATATTATGAACTATGAAGGGAAATCACATGCTTGAATAGTAGCAGCTGTGTAAATATGTATACCTGATTTGCCAACTCTGGAGCTTCCGATGACAGCGATGCGGACGCGCGGCGGGCTGGCACGCTCGTCCCTCATGGTTGTTTGTGATTTATTTGCGACAAAGCTGAAACAGTAAAGCGTTTTGAGTTTTTTTATTCCACTACCTGTTATAAATATATAATTTTATATTCGGACTTATAAGCCGCTGGCAACTATTTGATGTCACTTATATTATTTCATAACGCAGTAAAAGTCATATGGTGGATTTTATGGCGGAAATATCATCAATTCGGCATCTTTCGACGGTCTCTCTGAGGAAATTTTTCGGATATGCGGCAGATGTTGTATGAATTTAGTATTTTAATTGTTTCCTTGAGGTGAAGCTCATTAAGGATAATCTCGGGTTTTACTTGGCAATCATGATTTCCGTTTATTAGTCGAAATTTGGTTCAAATGACGTCTGAACGCTGCGTAAACATTACGGTTATTATTTTCGTAAATACTAATTAGAGACTTAATATCCAGAATGCAAAATGGACAAAGTGTTAATTGAGTCTCATGGGTTATACGTATTAACACTTAATATAGCTATTTTAAATATGCGAATACATGCCAAGACTAAAATAATGGTAGAGACGAAGCTATGTTAGGTACAGTTGACGTCAAATATAATTTGTTTATTAGAACGTTAACGTTATTCACTCGTATTAAAAATATTTTGATATTCATATTTCAATGCATATATTATAATTTCAGCATGCCTGTAATGAAGAGAAAATACGTATAGTGTATGCTTGGTATGCAGCTATAAGTAACTATATTACGAAATATTTATAGAACAATATCGCCATGCATTTAGCATCGGCTTGAGGAAAAGTTGAATAACCCTAGACGTGAGTAATACATATGCATTCAATTTATATGAATAGCAATGCTGAAAAACGACGTTTGTTAGTCATTTAATTGTTAAGATTTTTGTTTACTTAACGGAAAGGGGATAACGCATTCGACTTCAATCGCAGACTTAAAATGAAAACAGTAAACAAGCAACTTGGCAAAAGCGCATAAAAATACAGACCTTTTTAAACAAAGAAATAAAACATTTAGTTAAATAAAAACAAAATGAGATTAATGGAAACTGAAACGTAAAATATTGCTTTAAGCGGGAAAGTACCTATTTATACAAAAATCCGGCATTTGCAAACATGCAAAAATTAAAAGCTTGATTATTTATTTATTTTATTTAGAACTTCAACATCATAATTATTAACAGTTAAATCGACAAAGCTATTAAACGGTATACGTATATAAAAATTAAAATGTGCCTATGAGCAACTAGTTATTAGCTAATCAACCTTAGCTATGGTCATTATTTTTGTATTAACTTAATAGCCTATATATTATTTTTTTTAATTTGTAACATGTTGCTCGGAAACGGCTCTAACAATTTGGATAAAATTTTGTACTTAGACAGCGTTTTACTTTACAAGTTTTTTTTCGATAGTTGTAAACCCTGAAAATATTACAACGCTAAAATGCAATAATCCCTGGTGATATTGTTTATAAGTCAATATATGTATTTATTCATATGATAAGAAAATTCACATCAATGGGGCAAAAATACATTTCAAGTATGAACAATAACCATTAAACGTAGGCATCTAAAATTAATAAGAGCTGAAATAATTTATCACCACCAACTTTTAAAAACTTTGTTACTGCGTAATTGTCGCGAGACCAATGATTCCAGCTTTTATTTATGTTTGGCGCCACTGTAAATATATTTCCGTCGCAACTGTATGTGGCTGATAAAAAAGTATATTTCTGACGTAGCAACATTTATTCACGTTAAAAGAGTGTTCTATGCGACGCAAATCCTAGCTGCATTTAAATGTATCTCTCTTTAGGTCTCATAAATCTGAGAGTAAAAAAACAGGAGACGAGTCTCTTGTTGCTTAAGTGCAGTTAAATGGATTTTACTTGACGTAGAGAAATATAATAATGCCAGCCGATTCACTGGGCTTGAATTGAACTTTAGTAATAATTGTTATTAATAGTATTCTATGTTCAATTCCACGACATAATCCACTTCTATGCGAAATTTCGTTAGATTCCGTTCAGCCGTTCATGCGTGATGGAAGGACAAACAACCAACAAACATACTTGAACATTTTTATGGTATTTAGCACGATGATTAGTACTATTCAAATTATTTATAATATTCAAAAATAATCCCAGATTTTTTTTTTGTTTTATACATGTTTCTTTTATAGTATAGGGTTACAAACGAGCACACAGTCCACCTGATGGTAAGTGGCTGCTGTGGCAGACATCTACATTTATCCTCGTTTGCGAATCAAAATGCAGATGCGGCAGATGCCACCCGTGAGGACTAAGATGGAATGCCTCGTTTCTAGTAAAAAGGGTCTCCGGTTCTCTACACTCACCATACGAAACACAGCAGTGTTAAGCTGCTATATGACGCTGGTATTCTGTGAAAGCGTGGTCCTTCCCCGGTCATTTCACGTCACGGAATTATACTTCTAATATAGCTGCAGCATGGCTCTACCACGTATAAACACGCATGTGTTATTAATCTTATTCAATATTGGGTAGTGCATATGGTAGGTAAATAAGTGCTTAACATTACAATTAGCACATCTTCATTAATGTCGGCGGGGAAGTTTGCTCCCGTACTATAAAAATTTAAGGCGAGCGCTTAGGTAGTCTACTAGACGATGTACATATGTATGTGTTTCGACCGTGCTTTGTGGCATTCCTTGGCGAAAACCTATTTTAAGCAGTGGACTTGACTGCGCTTTTTGATGATGACGATGATGAAATTGGATTATAGCATATACAGAAGCAGGACTATCGATTGTGATCATAAAGCCGCGGGTTAAGCGTGACGACGACCGGAGGATATGTCTTAATCTTTTGTACTGGATACGAGGCATTCAATCTTAGTCCTCAGGGATGAGTAAGCATCTGCATTTTGCTTCTTAAACGAGGATAAATATATATGTCCACTTACCATCAAGTGAATAGTGTGCTCGTTTGTCACATTTATTCTATAAAACGGTTAAAACATATCCTCACTACCACGGGAGATATCCAGGACCCATTAGACTTACGGGGTGATAGAGAAAAAAAATATAAATTACTGTGTGAAAAATAATGTTAGTACTCGTGAAAAAACATAAGTAAACATCTTTAAATGTCGGCGAATGAATTCGTAGGACTTTATCAAATGAATCACGAAAACCTTACATTAGAGGAGAGTCCGTACTGCGTGTGTAATTAACAAGAACAAATGTTCGATAGCGATGACGTCTCTTATGAAAGTGTTGGTTATGCTATATAAATACCAGTAAGTACTGTAACAATGTGGGCGTAAAGGCAAAACGTAATCGTCAAGAAATGGTAAATGATAGATTTTATTGTGTGGGCGAATATATTTTTAGACAAATTGGTTAGGGAGTTAACGTAAACATGGACATGTCAACTTTAGAGAACTAATACTTTGTCCTTGAAAATGTTGAGTTAGGAAAAGGTTAGGTTAGTTGAAGTATCATAGTCTAAGATTAATCAGAGCGATTTGCGTTGTGTTACAAGGTCTCATATTAAGCGTGTTATTTTATAGGCTTAACAGCGTATTGAGTGTCGGTCCCTCAAGACCACAATGTAAGCAATCGTGTCTCGTTTCGAGGACGGGGCCTTGTTACAGAAACGTCTGACGTCACGTCGCATGGACGAATCCACCATGCAATCAAGGCCTTAGGATTGGAACATTGAATCTTTTAGCCTTGATTTCTAACGCTGCGATAATGTAAACGATACGAAATCAATACTGTTGCAAGGTTGTTCCTGAGTACTGGCTAAATATAGAGTGTTTTTGTGTTAAGTACTTGCTTCTAATGTGAAAGTAGTTTTATCGATAATAGAAGAATATATTCTCATAAATTTAGTAAGTTTTATGTCCAACATTGGGCATTAAAAGAAATACCATTCATAGCGAAAGTTCTAAGAAAAAATCTAATAAATAAATAAAAGTAGGAACCTAGATGATTAAGGAAAATCTTTGGGGCCGATAAAGATGACGAATAGTAGGGTTATTAACGATTCACGACAGTAGTCAAACTGCGGTTGCGTATACGAAGGTAGGTACCTACTAGCGTTTAAAACAAAAGCCAATTTTCGCTTTTGTCAGTATTGTATTTTTTTTATAATTTTGTTAATTGTTTAATTCTTATAACTAACAACTTTATTCTGTATGGTAATGTTAGATACAGATCTATTATTCTATTAAATATAATAAATATTGTAATACCCTAAAAAGGGTGGTGAAGTTGTAAGATACATCATATTTTAAATTAACGCCAAATGTAACAGTTAATTTAAAATAAATATTTTGAATTTGATTTCGAATTGTTCGATTTTTTTTACTGCTCTTTGTGCAGGATATAGTCAGCCTAACCGTTTATTTATAGCAAATACGTATTAAAACGTATTTGATAAGATAAGTGTATGAAAGGATGTTATTGCTATGGAGTTATTATACCGTTGTAATAATGGAGAACGTAATAAATTATACACGCGTACGTACGAGATATGTACAAAAAATATTGAAGTAACATTATTACTGTCTTTTATCTAATTCCAAAAATTATTATGAATAACTATAATGAAATAGGGTTACAGACTTGTGCTTGAATATAAAAAAAGACTATAACTTGTGTATTTTTTGCGTAAATGTTAAGTAACCATTTAATTTAATAATTAGGGAAATGAGTAAATTAAAAAAAAACAATTTGAGGAAATCTTTTTAAATCTTCATCATATAGATTGGGTTACACATATTTAAGGTAGTTATTTTTAGTTATTTTTGTTTTGTTACGCTAAAGAAGTATAACTTCCTACGTGCATACATAAGTGCACACCCATTTTTTTCTAATCAAAACAACACTGACAACTTTTTTCAGTAACTTCTTATAACCGATTTTTTTTATTTGGGAATCAACATTAGAAACACCAAATCTTTTACATTTACTTTTACCTTAATTCCAACCGTATTTTTAGTTGTTTTAAACATTGAG